AACAAATTTAACCATGATATTCTTATTAATGCCAATAAACTACACATTCTTAACATTAAAATTTTTTCGTGTCATATACACTTTAAAAGTCAGTGACTGTACCTTAAACGAGATGTTGGCCAGCCGATCTGAAATACTATGAAAAAATGACGTCAATGCAAAACTGAGATGTTCAGTAATGAATGCGAAAGCCGGTTGATCATCGAAAAATTAAAACTTGCCCGCCATTGCAATAAAAATATGAGAATCGTAAATTATTGAGTCGCTGTTATCAACCACTTATTAATGTTATTACTGGGATGATTTTACTATTCTATTCTTTACTATTTCTTTACGGTTGTGAATCAACAGGTGCAAAACTCGGTATTTTGATTTCTCAAATGCATTAATAATTCATAAGCTTAGCAACCAATGGATGGGCACTTTTCGAATCACGTGGATGCGTTTTGTAACCTAATAAAAAAACATTCTCATCATTAGTGTTTGAAATATTTTCCTCACTAGTGTTTAAAATATTTCGTAATCTACGTATTTGTCGTGGGTGTCTCAAAATGTTGCTGGAAGAACTTCTCATCCACTTTCCACCCATTTGCTTTATTTCTCTACCTCTTTTCCCTCCATTAAGGTACTTACTTTTTTATACTTCTATCTACTATTTACTTATGTAATTACTTTTTTCTTTTTTTTTTACTTGGGCTTACGTAATGTCTCGAAACTGGGACCCTGGGCGTGATGGTCTAGTGGGTTACCAACTATGCCTACGAGGATTTTGCTGACACATATGGGTTGGATCTGGATCTGGATCTGGATCTGGTTGGATCTATATTGTATTAACGTTTTTTTTCATACAACTGCTCTACGTATATTGAATTAATATATAACACAATAAAAATAAGCAAACATCTTTTCCTGCATAATAAATTATTTTAATTAAAAAAAAATTTTTTTTTTAAATTTTAATTTTTTTTAGTTAAAACTCATTAGAGAAGCAACTCCAAAAACTTGTGCTTCGTGTTTCATTAGGGTTTCCAAACACTCGAAAACAATAAAAGCACAACGGCCTTGTGCTTTCAAATGTTTTCTCGTGTTTGGAAACTCGAATGAAACACTTGCACTCGTTTTTGAAAAATTACATCTCATACTCATGTATAAATTAATTATTTATTATTTTACAGATGGCGGGTAAGACGCTTGACTTTTGCAGTACAGCTAAATTATACTGTGAAAATGAAGAGCAGTTGAACTGGAAATCAAAGAATAATTACATGAAAGAACATGTTGTCTGAAACCGCTACCGCCTGATACAGACCTCTACTGATCAAAAGTGATATGGATTTGATTATTTGTCCTTGGCAATACTCCCACTTCGAGTTCGCCTTTGCTCAGTCTTAGCCTCGATTGAGTACAATTGTCTTTTTTTCTTTCATTATGGTCCATTGTATTGTAAGGAATGTACGCACTACGGAACAATATGAGTTGATTAAAATGCCACGGGTTTTGGTTGAAAAGGCGAATATTATAACGCACAACTGAGACTAAGGCTGACCAAAGAGAGCTCGAAACTGGAGTATTCCGCAAATGCTCAATATATGTACTTAAAAGCGAATAAAGAAACCACAATTTCTTAATGTCTTCACGTATATAACTTGGAATAATTAAGGTTAGCGGCCAAAGGTTTATTAACTTATCATCTTGAGGGCGCTCATTGGGATTCAAGGGACTTTTCCTGTTTGACGGAAAGTCTTTCAATCAGACTTTTTTATTGATGTCATTATTTTTCATGCAACTTTAGAAATATCTACATTTCGGTCTTTACAATATGCTAAGTTTTAGCGAAGCTCCAGCGATGGCCGAAGGGAGCATCATACATCATAATATGGTAAACCATCGAGTTTATTTTTCTGACGTCACTTCTGTCCGTCCGTCCGTCCGTGTACATAACACAGGGATCCCGCTTGATGTCAAAGCAAAACTACTCGCAAATGCGGCTCTCTAATGCACAGAAAAAATATTTATTTAGGACAAATTATAGACCAACAACAAATAAAAAAATTATTTTAATGTGCTCAAAGATAGATCAAGAAGGGTTCTTTTTAAGACCACATATCAGACCAAGAATGAGCAACCGCATTTTTGCATTTTTGCATCAAAGTCTCCTTTGCTAAGATTTAGGGCTTGCTGGATTTTATGGTAGGGTAGCTTCATAACGTTGCTGCTATGCACCATTACGTAAGGCACAAATGTTCCATCCTTCGTGGATATATAAAAAAAATAAGCTAATATCCGGATTATTAAGGGTAAAAAGACATATGAAAGTATGTAGAAATATTATTAATTACTGTAACATACCTTCCAAAGTTCGGGCGTATAGATAGATAGATACTTTATTAACGYGTCAAGAAAATAACTAGMTGAGGGAAAACCCTCTACTAATAGGGGACACCTAAGGTATAATAATAAAGTAAAATCATAAGATATACAATGATATTAATTAAGACTAAAAATTAATTCAATAAAGTACTAAAAAATTATTTCATAAATATAAAATATAATATATAAATATTCTAATGTTTTGATAATAATGTAATAAAATCCTAATCAGCATTTCAACTATTACATAAAAAACACCCTCTACATCCGTTGTCAATTACTGATGTAAGGTTTTTTTTACGGATGCGATTTTTAAAATCACCTAAGGATTTGCTTAATCTGTCTTTTTTGTCTAATTTGCTCCAAAGTATGGGACCTAATATATCTAAGGGAATGCTTACCAAACGTGACTGTGTTAAATTTAGGTATAAGAAAATCTGAGTTTCTAAGGCTGTAACAAGAATCACGAGGTTTGAACATATTAGTAATAGCTTCGGAACACACATTGGTGTGTTTAACTTTATACATCAGAATGCAAATGTCTTGAAGACGTCTATTTAACAGCGTAGGCAGATTCGCCCTATTCAATAACTGATTATAGCTGGACTTTGTGTCCCTATAAACGGCCCTTATTCCTCTTTCCTGGATTCTCTCCAACCTACGAGTATCACTAGCCCTACAAAAATGCCATACTAGATGGCAATATGTTAAATATGGTAGGATGGCTGTTTTGAAAAGTACTAACTTTGCAGTGGTGGGAATTAAGTTTCTCAGTCTCATGATTACCCCAACCCTTTGACTTGCCTTCTTACATATATCATTAATGTGCTCATTAAAATTTAACTTATTATCTATTGTAACTCCTAAAAKTTTCAACGTATCAGACGTCTTAATGATCCTACCATTTAAGTTCAAGCTAGTTTTATCTTCTCTACAACTCATCTTTTCGTTCTTACTACCATATTTATTTTGAATGTACATAGTCTGATATTTCTTCAAGTTTCCCTCCAAGAGATTATTTTCGTACCACTCAGTTGCACTATAGAGGCACTTTTCTCGAGCATGGTATGCACTGAGTCGATTCCTTTACCTTTCTGGTATATTTGATGATCATCGGCATACATAGAAATATTAGCATCAATATCATACACGAGGTCGTTCTGAAAGATGTTCCATATCAGCGGGCCCAACGAGGAACCTTGAAGACAGCCACGAACGACTCTCTTCCAATCACTGGTTACAGTAGATCCCATCCTGACTCTGTTGTAGCGGTCACTCAGGTAACTGTTCAACATTTTGATGACATTGTCGTTGAAACCATAAGACTTCAGCTTACTTWACAGTAAAGGTGGATGAACTGAGTCAAATGCCTTGGACATATCTGTCGATAAGATACCAACAGATAGACCCTCATCTTTCGCCTTTTTCCAGTCTTCGACGAGACCAAGAAGGGTGGTTTCACAACTACGATGTTTTCTATATGCAGATTGACAATCAGCAAGCTGCCCGTCAAATTTATCGGTTATTTGTTTTCCCAGAAGTTGTTCAAAAACTTTATCAGCGCAGGGCAACACTGTTATTGGTCTGTAATTAGTAACCGTTTGAGCGTCATCTCTCTTAAAAGTTGGAATCCATTCTCCTCGTTTCCATTGTTTGGGCCAAATCCCATTGTTAATACATGAATTGAAGAGGGTTGAGAGAGAGGTAGAAAGTTGGCTAGCTCCAATTTTCATATTTTTAGGTGGAATGCCATCAAACCCCATAGCTTTTCTTACATTAAGCTTTTCCAGTGTACGTTGTACTTGGACGCTATTGAGTGGCTCAAAGTCATATTGTTGTTTATTTTTTATGTTATCAGCAATCACTGACACACTTGCCTGATTTTCAAAGTCCTCCATTTTGTCTAGGTTACTTTGATAACCCCCAATGCCGTCTGCTATTGTAGCAAAGTAATCAGCAAACTGTTCTGAAACCCTGTTTTGATCTTTTTCTATACAGCCATCGACTCTCAGATGAATTTCCGTATCACTCTTATGACGCTTTGTTGATAAAAATGGTTTGAATGTTTTGAAAAAATCCCTTGGGTTTTCCTTTAGATCTTCTGCTTTCTTTCTCCAATGTTCTTTGATCGCCAAACGTCTCTGTCTAGTTGCCTCATTTCTGCATCTTTATTTTCCCAATTTTCTTGGGTAGGATTTTTTTTATATTTCACTGTGGCCCTTCGCTTAGCGCGTATCGCGTGCTTACAGCCTGTGGTCATATACGGCACATCTTTATCACGTACTCTCATCAACCACATTTTGCAATAGCGTACTTCAGTAATAGGCTTGGTCGTCTATATCGTCGAAGATTTCACCCACATGCCAGGGAGCCATTGACAGACTTTCTTGAAAGTCACTTTCATCAAAGTTTTTATAACTTCTAAATGTTATGACTTTCGACTGATGAGATTCAACTTTCTCCCTTAAGATTCCATAGATTAGACAATGGTCACTTAATGATGGGTGGTAAATTCCACTATGCTTGAAAAGATCAGGTCTATTGCTTAACAATACATCAATGAGAGTACTGGTCGTCTTTGTCCCACTATTGGCGATACGTGTAGGTTGCGTGATAAGACATTCAAATCCTTGTTCCACTTCCAGGTTAGGTAATAAATTACCTTCACTTGTGTCTGGTTTCATCCTATCCAAGTTTAAATCTCCCAATAGTGTTACAAAATTAAATGAAAATGATTAACTTTGGAGTAACTGCTCAAACAGCAGGCCAGGCAAGTGAAAATTTGCGGTCTACACTTCAAGCATCGTATTATTGCAGGCTCTTCGGTGCAAAAGGATGCACTTAGCTTCGGGAGGAAGGCAACTCTCTTCGGCGAAAGCCGACAGCAGCTGCATGCGGATACCTTTCCAATTATTCAAGGATTTCAAATTTCTATTTTCGTTTTCGTTTTCGTTTTTTATTTCGATTTAATTCCGAACCTTCCGCCATGGCCAAGGAATCGAGATGGTCGTCATTGTGTAAAGAGCCGGGTCCACTATTACTAGTAGTATTTCCACTCACACCAGCTCCTGTAACTTTCACAGTGATCGGGAGCTGAAAAGGCTTTTTTGAATAACGAGAATGAAACCTAGCAGTCAATTTTGCCGGTTTGAAACGCTTCATTTTCTATTAAAGCTCAGCTGATTGTCAAACCCGGCTCGAGGCTACTATTTTATTAACAGCAGGCCAGGTTTCTCATTTGTTTGGTGGAGATGATAATCTGGATGTGCTTGAAGCACTTTCCTAAATTTAGAAATGTGTGCTTGAAGCGTTTTAGGAAACGTGAGAAGGGTGGTTTTGTCATATTCCAGCAATCGATAATGAAGGGGACCATAGGTTACCCCTGGAAAACTCGATACTATACGTCCAAGGCACTCGGCTACTTTCCTTATAGTTGGTTTTTTGCTTTCTAGCAAGTCAGTAGCTGCTTGTTTAAGCTTGAAAGCTTTTTCTGGTGTGAGACTCACACAAACCCTAAAGTATCTAAACAAGAGAATATGAACTAAGAGAAGGAATCCCCGTGCCCCATCATGTGCACACTTAACTTTGATACTATTCAGTTTAGAATCCATTCTAAAAATATCATCCAGTGATATCATGTATTTGACCGTTTGATTTTCTGCACGCGCATAGTAGGCGCGCGCTCTACGCTGTTTGCTAACGTTTTCTTGTGCTTTTCTTATGTTCAAATGTTCAAATCTGCCCTCAAGATGACGATGTAGGTCGAAAGCTTTGGAAAATAAATGTAAGGATACTCCAGAAAGTTGAAGAAATTCGTCACCAGAAATCTGGGACATTTGAGCCCGTGCATATTGAGCAGCGGTACCTCCCATTGCTAACTTCCCCAAGGGTCTCATAGGCAGCCTTTAAGATGGGATAGGGGATTTCAATAGCAAAAACAAACTCCTCATCTCTAGCTCTCCGTTAGTTTATATAACTTTAAAAAGGTGGATCAACAACTTTAAGCTTTTGGTTTATAATATTCCGTTCGTATTCTGTAAAAACATCAGCCATTTTGATCAATTTTCAAGTGAACGAAGTTAACTTACAAAGGGTTATAGTGCTAAAATATAATGAGAGCCCTGTGTTTAATTTGATTGTGAGGGCATGGGACCAAATATACTTGGTCTGTTTACAACAAGGTGGATAGGAATGAATGTTGTCGTTGTTTTTGGTCGAATTCGTAAAATTTGGCCATTTTCCCCTTCAAAATGGCGGAATCC